AAAGCCATATCGTTTTCTCGGTTTATTTTTTACAAGAAAATAATTTTAAAGAAGAAAAAAAAAAGAAAAGTATAAAAGTCTTTGCAAGCTCTGAGGAACATTTTAAGCAGATGACATAAGACATTCGGCTTCTAGCAAAGAGGTGGTAGCGAGGGTGCAAGATGTATTGAAATCACTCTGAATTATCTTTTAATGGGGCAAACTGGCAAGCAACTTGCCTGTCTCTTTTGCCAGCCGGTGCTTACAGAAAAGGAAATTAAAAATAAAGAAAGGAAAAGGAGGGGAATAGAGCAATCCCTTTCCCAGCATCACTCCCGCAGACGCTTGGAAAGGCGTTTTCAGCCCAGCCGTGCTGAACTGCGGAGCAGGGTCTGGCCACACATGATTTGCCCACCTGCCCTTGAAGCGAGGTGGGGAGAGGGTGGCGGGGTGGTCGGCTTTCTGCCGGAGCCAGCGGACACCGAGCGGAAAAGCCCGCAGCCTGCATGGCCGTGCCCTCGGTGGAGCAGGTGGCTGACCTCTACTTTTCCCTCAGGGCCCGCACCGCCCGTCCTTCTCCGACTCCTGAGCTCCCCGCCCCCGCAGGGCGACTTCAACTCCCCCCGGCGCACGCCGCTTCCCCGGAGCAACGCGCCCGGGCGTTGCTCCGCGGGTCACCCCAAACGGGGCACGTTGCAGGGTCTGAACACCCGACACCGCCTTCCCCGGCATCCTCCATTAGAACGCCCGCTCTGTTCCGCTCAGGACTGAGCCCGAAAACACCCCGCGGGCGAGTGAAGCAACTGTACGCCGAGTTAGATTTCTAATTTTTATTATAAAATAAAAGCAGAAATATTTTCCAAAGAATGTATTCACATAATATAAACAAGAAACAAAACTAAGGTGAGTGACTTGTGGTTGATATTGTCTTTTAGGTCTAAACTTGAGCAGCAATTCCTCTTTTCTTTTTAAAGCCAGCTCCTGCCCACGTTGCACACAGAGGGGGGAATTCTGTCTCTGCCTTCCTCCGGGCCAGAGCCGGGCCACCACTTCCTTTTCCACACAGCAAATGGCTAAAGCACCACATGGACAAGGCCAAAGAAGCTGTCTCTCTGCATAGCATCAGCTACAAGAAGGTTACAGAGTCTGCCTAGAGCGCGTGTTGCTGCTATAACTTGTCTACAACTTTTGTATTCTTAGTTGAAATTGTACATCATACACCTGCCACGGATACATAGCTACAATAGAATAACGAGAGAGATGTGTAACTTCCAAACAGGCATGGCAACAGCAGCCTTGCGTTCCATTTTCCTCCCCACACCCCGAAAAAAATATTACAATGTGCCTCTTCCCACACAGACCGGCCCGATCGAGTGACACCACTGAGAGATTCGTGAAATTAAGGCTGGAAAGAGCTGCTAAACCGATCCCCCTTACAGCCTGCCGTGAAAATCACAGCTCCTGTCCAATAGTCATTAAACGCCTGAGCCCCCCTGTAAACAACTCTTAAAGCTTTTCACAACATCACTGCCCACAGTTGAGTCTGCTACCTTGCAAACCTGCAGCCAGCCTTCTGCCAAAGGGCACAACACATCCACTAAGGTGTTTGTCATCTCTTTCAAAGTCTCTGGTAAGATTAAGGGGGGAGAAAAAAAAGGAAAGAAAAAAAAGGAAAAAAAATAGAGTAAAGGAGGGCTGGTGCCAAGGAGGGAGCGTGTACACTGTTTTAAGAGCCCAGATCTACCAGGTTAGACGACATGGGGTTGAGGATGGAGTCCTGCAAGCTGTGGTGGTGCATGGAGTCGGCACTGGGCACGGGGATGGCGCTGGGGCCCTGGGGGTGGCCCAGGCCGTGCAGGGGCTGCAGCCCGGGATTGGAGCTAAGCAGCAACGCGGGGCTGGAGGAGGTGTGATCCGGGGTCCCTGACGGCGTCTTCTCGTCCTCTGAGCTCCCCAAAACTGTCTTATTCCCGTTCATTGACGCCGAAAGCGGGTTGTGGCTGTTGGAGTTGGAATTCTCGTTGTTTTCCCTATAGGAAACACAAAAGAGGGAGGGAAATCACCGTGTGGCCGTCGCTCCGGGGCGCACACCGCTGGAGCGGGGGCGGCGGGGAGCTGGGTCCAGGGAGCAGCGAGTGGAGGGGAGTGCAAAAACAGTAGGTTCGAAAACTGCAAACCTCCAAGGTCTCTTCATCTGGCACTAAGGTCTAAGGTCCGCTGAGCTTGTAAACAGTGTCTCCCACTAGCCCAGCGGAAAGTGTCACTTTGCCAAAACGTAACTTTCTGCGTCCAAAGGGTTTGCATAGCATGAGGAGGGAGGCGGAAGGGAGGAAGACATTAAAAAAAAAAAAAGTACTTTTTAACTTTAAAACTGCTCTAGGACCTGAAGAGAAATTTGGCCATGATTTCTCCTGGGAAGGCCAAAGTCCGGCGAACTCCAGGCAGAATGGCTCCGTGCAGCAGAACAGCCTCCCGGGCTCACATCAGGAGGAAAAGTCTTTTGCTTAAGACGTGTTTTTTTCCCGCCTCGCCCTGAGCCTAAAGCTCAAAATATAGCCCAATATGGAAGATAAGGCAAGCGAACAGAGTTAACTCGGCCCTCTTGGGAAATGCTCCGCGCGGCCTCCGCTACCACTCCATCCCGACTTGGACGGCGGTGGGCGCAGCCAGGGTGGCCCCTCGCACGGCTCCGCGGCGGGGATAGTCAGCACCGCCGGTGTGCCTACCGACAAAGGCTCGGAAAGGCAGTACGTAGTTTCGAAATTCATCACCGGGTAAATACCGAGAAATCGCTGGAGGCTGGCCAACCCCTTGCAGATACATCTATATACTTATATATCTATATTTTTTTCCGAAATGAGAGCAGCAAGTTGGGGTCCCTTCAAAGTGTACGCGGCCTTTACACATAGCCTTCGTAGAAATACTTTAGTCACAGTCCTGCCTGAAATACTGAAGGCAATGCAAGTCTATTTAAAAGCTTCTGAGGAAGTTTTGAAACACACTATCTGGCAGAGGGGCCCTATCCTGAAGGATTTGGAGAAGTTAAGCCATTGCACTGACGGTTTTTCCTCACTAAGGGCTGCAGGATGTGGCTGGAGACACTTAGTGCCAAAAAAATAAAAATAGACAAGAAAGCTCTGTTTGAACAAGTTTCCTTGAGTGAATGGCAATCCCATGAACGGTCTGTTTTCCAACGCCTGGAGTGTAATATTAGGTTGAGTGTATTTTTCAATGTCAAAAATCTTATTTGTCTCTGGAGACCTTTAAAATTTGATTCCGCGGGAAGAAAAAAAAAAGGAATGGAATAAGTGTAACCTTCATTTCCTTTGGATATTTGAAGGTGAGTCCCTGCTATCAGCAATAAAAAGGATCTCTAACATCTCGTAAAACCAACACTTGTGAGGATTTGAAGTAAAATTAAAGCGCTAGCACCGTTTCGTGAAATGAACAGAGCAAATCTGTGCCCGAACCTACCGGGCTGCACAGCTGCGCGGCCGCGGCGCTGCCCGTTTCCAAAATACGATAGGCAGTGAGTCTCGAAAGATAGAAGTTACCTCAGAGGCAAGGATCTACAGGAGATTTCTGATATATCAATTGACCGCGCAGCTCATACGATCAGGTCCGTACGGACTGGGCAATTCAGCGAACTAGTGAATGCAGTTGAAGGACCCTTTTTGCTTCTTCGAACCTTTGTGTCTTCCTAAGGCACAGGGACTGCTGATGACTTTTCAGTCATCCCGAATACTCAAGGATGTAGGCATTAACCTCTGCCCGGCAATTAATAGTCCCTTCACTCCATTTAACGTGAAAAGCACAATCGCAGAATCATGTTCGTCCTAAGAACATACACCTATTGACATGCGTTCATGAACACCTTACTGAGTAGGGAATAAGAACTGCAATGTCACGAGCGAGGCAAGAAGTTGCTCTGCTCAGTCCTTGTCCAGGTCTCCCGCCGCACGCCAGGAGCCGACGACACTGGACATATTTGCTAAACGCGTTCAGACCTACGTGTTTCCCTCTGCCCCTCGGCTTTCTCTTTCTGCACCGGAGTAACCCTCCAGGACACGCTCTGAGCTGTACGGGGCGCGGAGCCCTTGCCCTTGGGCCCCGCCGCCGCCCGCCTGTCCCGACGGGCCGCAGACTCCCACACGCACCTCCGGCCATAGCGCCCGGCTGGGCTTCACTCCGGGTTGCCCCGGAGAGGCGGTGGCCGCGTTGCTTTACTGGGAGTCGCCGCTGGCCGTGGGGAGCGACCCCAGCAACAGAGGCTGCCCTAGGGCCGCCGCGTCGGCTGTGCTGGGAATGGGGTGTCGGCGGGGAAGGGGTCTCGGCTGCCTCTCCCGAGGCTTCTTTCGGCGGACAGAAGCCCTCGCCGAGAGCCCAGCTCGTTCGCCGCTGGCTCTTTGGGCGCCCCCGCGGCGGACAGCCCATCCCCTCCCGGCGGGCCTCCCGCAGCCGGGGCCGGGGCAGAGCGGGAGGCGTGGGGCGAGCGGCGGGGTCGGGCAGCCGCGAGAGCAGGGGAAGCCGTGGGGAGCCGTACCTTTCCTTGGCCTCGGCGGCGCGGTCCCGCTGCCGGCGGTTCTTGAACCAGTTGCTGACCTGGGTGGTGGTGAGGCCGGTGGCCTCGGCCAGCTCCCGCTTCTCGCGGGGGGACGGGTAAGGGTTGTGGGCGTACCACTCGCGGAGGACGCTGCGGCTCTTCTCCTTGAAGCAGTAGCTTGTCTCCTCGCCGTCCCAGATGGAGCGGGGCAGCGGGAACTTGCGGCGCACCCGGTACTTGCCCACCGCCCCTAGGGGTCGCCCCCGGAGCTTCTCCGCCTCGATGTAGTGCGCCTTCAGCCAGAGCTGCTGCAGCTTGGGGTGGTTGTGCGCCGAGAACTGGTGGCTCTCCAGGATCTTGTAGAGCTCGCGGAAGTTGCCCCGGTGGAAAGCCACCACCGCCTTGGCCTTCAGGACGCTCTCGTTCTTGTGGAGGTGCTCGCAGGCAGGGAGGGACCAGAGGAACCGCCCCAGCCGCTCGATGTTGCCGCCTTGCTGGAGCACCTCGCAGACGCAGGCCACTTGCTCTTGGGTGAAGCCAAAAGTCGGGAGCATCGACATGGTGAGCCCTGCCCCGCCGCGCGCCCTATGGCCTCATAGAGGGAGCGGCGCGGGGCAGCGGGCAGCGCCCGGCATGCGGGGCCGGCCCCGGGGCGGCGGCGCCCGGCGGGGCCCGCTCGGGCGTCACGGCCGGGCACGGGGGGCCGCGTCCATCGGCGGCGCCCGGCCCCGGGGCGGTCGCGAGAGCCGGGGAAAAAAGACGAAGAGCGACGAAAAAAAGCCTCGAGAGCCCGAGCGCGGGCGGCTTTTCCCCCGGCCGCCGCCTCCTTTTTGTAAGTCCAAGTTGCGAGAGTAACTTCGTGCCTCTTTTGTCTCCTATCTGCAGCGCTCGCAGCGGCCGCGGCTCTCACACCCCCACCCCCCTCGGCCGACGGTTTGGGATCTCCCTGTTTCCCCCCCAACCCCCACCGCCAGATCCCACATAATATAGTGGTAAAGCCCTGCTCCCTCGCTCTTCTCCCTCTCGGAGTTTTCCCCCCTTTCTTTCTCTCTCTCTCTCTCTCTCTCTCTCTCTTTTTTTTTTTTTAATAATATTATTCTAAGCTGGCATGAAAAGTGATTATCCGCGCTGTGATTGGTCCGGTTATCTGACCCGGGGACTGCCAGCAGAAGACAATAGTTTTAGTCAAATTATTTGCCATGGTGACGCTGTCAATCAGGGGTAACCCGATCTGTTTTGAGGTGGCTCCCCGGCTGGGTTGACAGATTGCTCAGATCCACTCAGAGGCGGCCCTGCGAGCTGAGATATTAGCTAGCGAGAGAGAAATTTCCGCCGTGATTGACGCTGCAGGCGCCCGTCGGGGGAGAGGGGGAGCGCCGGAGAGCGGAGCCCGAGCCCCTGCTTCTCGCCGCAGGGCGCTGCGGCGCGGCGGGACGGAGCCGCCTCCCCGGCCGGGCCCCGCCGCCCCGTCTGGATCCCGCAGTCCCGTCCCGACCCCGCCGCTCAGGACCTCGGGCTCTGCCGTCCTCGGCACCCGCGGCTGCGGTGGGGAGAAAAGCCCGTCTCAAGCCCTTGCAGAAAAATTTCTTCCTAAATGCTTTCGCTTAGCCCCCCTCCCCAGAACCCAGTAACCGCTGTCGGAGAGTTTTATATGGAAGGGGCCTCTCATGTACAATGGAGACCCTGTTCGTGACCTGGGATCCCATTACACGCTGGTCGTACCTGCCCGGGAGCGAGGAGAAGGCATGATGATATGGGATTGCCTCTCCATGAATCGCCGACCGTGCCCCACCACGCTCTGGCGTGCAGGGCCCTGGCGTTTGTGATCACTGGACGCCGGACATTTATTTATACTCGATTTCCAGGAGCGTGTCGGGATGTTTCATCCAGGAGAGGAACACGTGTAAAAGTGTAAAAGTCAGAAGCACTTCGCTTGATTAGACGGACACTTTATCACCCACGCTTGCCCATTACACACCGAGTTTTAAGTTTACTGACTCTGCGGGGTAGGGATCCTTATCCTTTCACATCCCTTTCGGTCTACACAAAGTGAAAGGCGAGGGAGAAAGTTGTGCAAGCTGGAAGGTCGAGGGAGCGGGTGCGATGAGCGGGTGAAGGGAGCCGCGGTGCTTCCTCGGGAGCGGCGCTCAAGCTGCGCGGCCGGACGGGGCCGTCGGGGCAGAGGCTGGCGTCGGGGCTCGCCCAGGTGAGGGCACTCGGGAGGAGCCTCCCGACCACAAACTCAGGGCAGTTTCCACGGCCTGTAATGTACCCCTTTTGTGGAGAAATAATAATCCCACAAGCTCTTTCTACGCTATTTGCAGCCCTGACAGGAGAGGTCTCTGCAATTGTGGGTTCCTGCCACGGTACCTTTTTAGCCGCCCCGGCGCGTCAGGGATTTAGCGAAGTCACAAGAGACCGGGCTGCGGCTTCCCACCTCGCAGCCTGAGCCTCCGCGGCTGATGGACGGAGCCTCCGTGCCGGCCCGGGCGGGCGCAGCGGCCGTCCCGTGGGAAGGCGAGGCTGGGGTGGCCGGCGCGCAGCCCAGCGGCTCCCGGCGGCGGCGACTCCCGGCGAGAAGCCACGCCAGGGCTGCGGCCAGGGGAAATGCGGCGGGGGAGGGAGGCAGGAGGAGGAGGAGGAAGAGGGCGGGGTAGGGGGGCAACGGATCAGCCCGCGTCCAGCTCTCACCATGTCCGGACGCCTGTGCGTATCGGCGGCGTATGTCTGTACTTTCTCGAATGCATTCCACTGTGGAAGCTACGTGTCCTCCTACCTGTCCGTCCGGGCTTTTCCCGAGTGCTGCCATAACGAAAGTGTCAAGCGGGCGGTTCCCGCCCTGGATCTCCCAGGGGCGCAAAACAGAGGCTTCTTTTTCGGGGCGAGAAAGAAACAAGCCAAATTCGTTTCAAACAAAATCGGGGATGTTGGTGATGGCCCGGTAAAGCCCCTTGCATGATTTTCCCTTCGTCCCTTTATAAAATGAGCTCTCGACTGCTTAGTGCCTCTATTCCGGCCGATCTCTGCAGGATTCAAGCTGTGCTTGTTTGTAAACGAAAGCATCCCGATCTCAGTGCTTCCTAGACAACCTAAGCAGCTGGATAGTTCGCAGCCGTAACGCACAGTGACGGGACGGGCAACCGATCCTCTTCAAATGTTATTCTGAGCAGAAACGGGAGAGAAACACAAATCCCTTCTCCCATCCCCGACCTCTGCGCACACACACCGTGTGCCTTCTGCTCCCTCCCGTAATGGGGACCGTGGAAATACAGAAAAGTGCTAGAGAGGTCTGATTTGCGTCTCCCGCCTCCCCGCTACCATGCTCGGTCACCCCACGCTTATTAGGGATATACCTGCCTGCTCTTCCTCTCCTTCCATCTCACAACCACAGTGGTTGAATCTGAACGGGAGCAGCTGTTCGCCCTAGCCGGAAAGGAGATGTCAAAACCTGTTGCGTGGATTTAGATCTGAGAGTCTTCTTAGCACCCTAAAATGTGAGTACAGAATCTACATGCTAGCTTTTCCGTAGGCGCTTTCACTTTACGCTGCAGTTTGCTTGTAGCGTGAGTTCACTTCCCAGAGAGCTGGGCAGAGGCAGGGCTACCCCCTTCCCGGGCACCCTGTATCAGTTTGCGTCCTAGAGCAATTGCAAATTAGTGACATCTGGATCCAAATTCTGTATAACTGCTTTTAACCTTCTGAAACAAAAAAAAAATTCCCGTACATGCAAGTAGACAGAGCAGATACTGGCAGCAAAGCCGCGGCACGGGGGGAATAACATTGCAGTGCCTGGCGAGGGAAACAGGCGATCGGGCGAGGAGCTTTTTTTGGTTTTTGCTAAGGAGCTCGTTCGCTGCCATTATATTTCAGAGCAGGAGGCGCGAATCGCCTGTTCACGTTTGCTCCAGGTCCGACAGGATCTTTTCACTTGGCTGCTGCTGGCTGTCTCCAGTTTAGCTACTGCGGAAAGTTTTATTTGAGGCGATCCAAAAGGCGAGTTTCATCCCGGCCCCGACTGCCACTTTACCCAGGGCCCACTGGGCAAGCGCCTCACCCCTCCGAGCAGTCATTGCCGCACACGCAGCAGCGTGTGAAACATCATTGTGAAATATGAGTGAAATAAAAAGACCGTTTTTATCTTAATGCTCCTTCCATTAACTGGGATACAGACTGTCTGAGGAACAGGGTGAAGGCGGCCGTGTCTCTTAAGAGGAGCCTTTCCTGGCACTGCTTAGTGCCCACGATTGAGTGCAAAGGTAGCGCTGCAGTTATCTGAAAATCGCCTTCTCGGCTACGCCTTCACCCTTTCCTCGTAGACAGCAGCCTGTGATGAAGGCTGCAGGCCCGCATGGTTCCCGTTAAAGACACCACTAAAGACAGGAGCTGATTCACCCCAAACTCCTGCCTTGCACCTTTCCGCCAGCCCCCATGACCACTGCCTTTGAGGAGCCCCTTACCCTTTTTACCGAGCCGCTCAGCCCCTCGCGGGGCTCGGGACAAGCCTGTCACCCACTCTCCCAGGGCTGTGGACACGCGCGCTCCTGCCGGCCGGCCTCGGCTCCCGGCGTGGGGCAGGTCAGGGACACGGGGCCCCTCCGAGGGCGCTTGTATCGGCAGGGGTAGGTAACAAATGATAAACCCCGCAACCTTCACATGCCAGAAAGAATCACATCTTCTTCACAGATGGCGAGGACTGTAGCGAGAGCCCCGTAATAATTTTTGGCTTTAGTTCAAGACAGTGTAAGGAGAGCTTTTTTTTTTTTTTTTTTTTTTTTTTTTAATGTTTTTCTTTCCTTTTGGCGGGGCTGCAATATGCTTTCCCCTTAAAACCGGTGGGGTTTACTGAGACCGAAGGCCTGCCGCAATTAAATTGCTACTCCAGCTAGGTTGCTTTTTTTTTTTTTTTTTTCGTGAATCATAGCGACCTTTGCCAGGATATCAGGCCTACCTGCCCCACACCCCCCAACCTGGGGGCTCAGCGAGTTTCACCGGGACCACACATTTCTCCGTGGTGAGACTAGGGATTCTTCGGGCAGCCAAAGCTCGCCCAGGATTCTCCGAGGCAGTTTTGCAACCCGGATCGGAGGGTTGTTCCCCCCGCCCTCCCATTACTTATTCACACTTTTATTTATTTTTGCTTTTTGTTTAAAACCCGAGTCTATCCCATCAGAGATGGCACTAAGATCCTGTCCCGAATGAAAAAAAGAAAGCACGGCGGAGGATCACTGCACATAACTAAATTAAGACAAACAACAATTGCTTGTTGTTCCTTGATTTAGGGCGAAAGGAATGATTCAAAGCTTTTGCTGCGCGCAGTGCCCCGTTCCTCAAGGGGACCGGTCAAGGATTTCAGATATGTAGCGGGTAACTCGATTATGCTAACAAAATCCGCTTGAAAGAGAACGTTGTTGGGCTGCTGGGCGGGGAGCGGGGTGCTGTGGACAGGGGAGACCCGGCTGGGCGCCGGCGGGAGCGGAGCCTCTGCCCCAGAGAGCGTCCCCGCTTCCCGAGCCCTCAGGTCTGCCGCTCCTCTATACCGCGAAGAGGTTTCCCCACCGGCTGGACCTGAGATGCTCAAATAACATCTTCGAAAGAAATGTATTAATTAGGAGATAGGGGACTGATGCAACGTGACTGAGTTGGCCTCGGTGGACCTTCCCTCCCCCGCCTCCCTGCCGCCCCTCGGTGAAATGGGACTCCGGGGGCGGCACTGTCCCCAGCTCAAGGCGCTGTAACCTCCCGCGCTCCCCAGGAAACACGATAGCCCCCCAACCGACTAATGCGGCCGGTCCTGATTACTTTTATATTACCCCTTCTCAATCTCGGGCTAGGGGCTTAGAGTTTTCACTCACTGCGGCTATCAGCACTTTCTCGGCCGTTACTCTCAACATTGGTATTTATTTGGGGTATCCCCCCTCCATGGCCCACAGCCAAACTCAGATCCTGCAGAGGGCACAGTCCACTGGGGGGCTGACTGGGGAGAGTGAAGAGGGGGGCCCGGGCCGGTGCCCACCCAACCCCCGCCCCACTCCCGGCTGCGGGGATCGCCTCAGATGCTCTGCGGCAGAAGGGGACTCTCTCAGCAGACAGTGTACAGCTTACAGACAAGACAACAACAACAACAAAAGGCACATATGGTTAAAATAAGAAGTGAGAGAGAGAGCTTTCTGCCTTAGGGGATTTGCAATAACTAGCCAGAAATGCAGGGTATTGAATCTAAACTTCTGATGGGCTTCTGCGGGATTGACAACTTAATTCACACTACAAGCATCAATTTGACAATATTTGTAAACTTCTTTTTTCCAGGGATCTTCTTGATCAGAGATAGACCAGGTTGGTATGAGCTTCAGCCATGAAGGTCTTTTTTTTTCCCTCCTCCTTTCCCCTCTTCCGAGTTGATGAATAGCGATCAGGTTTCTTTTAATGGCTGCCCCCTATTCTCACAACCTCCCACAACTAACCCAAGAGCCTGTTTCCTCGACCTCAGTTAATTCCGCTGATTATTCCAAGATGATGAGGAAAGCACGAAGATTGTTCACTGTTCCTACCGATTCAGGGCATTTCTGTTACCATCTCCATCCCTGGCTCACGGGGATTTGACCGAGGATTATTTTTAGGAACAGGCTGCCCTCCCTTCCCTCCTGCCTTCCCTCTCCAGGCAGCTGACAGCTTCGGGGGCTCGGCCATAGTGCTGCCGCTCCGTGGGTGCGGGATGCTCGCCGGGGGCCGGGCGTCGAGCGCAGACCCCCTTCACTCAGCGGCAGCGGCAGCTGCTGGGGGGTCTCGGAGCAGGGACATCGCTCAGGAGGCGGCGGCGCAGGTGAGCCCGCGCTCCTGCCGGGCGCTTTCCCTAAAGGGGAGCAAACCGCCGGCCGCCCCCTGTAGCGCGAGAAGGAATTTCGGTTCCCCCCCAAGGAAGGAAAGCCACTCCTTCTGCCCCACGGGCTGCAGGCGGGGATCCACTCCGAGAAACCTCACTAGAGGGCTCTAATACTCAGCTCCCATCGTTGCTGAGAGAAAACAAGGCTCGTCCTTAACGTCCTTCAGTCTTCCGGATAGATCTAGCCTGATTAGGTCTCTCCCAGTCTGTCGAAGGTGATTCACATAGGTTATCACCATGTCTTAGTAACAGCCACCAACTAGTCTGCCTACCTGCAAGTGAGCGGAACTGATGTCCCCTTCCTGGTGCATAATGGTACACGAGGACTTTGGGGCTCCCTTCCTCTTCTGTATACATGGCAAGAGAAGAAAGTGCAGTCCCTAAAACAACCAAGGGCCCCAGGCACAGGTATCCTTGTCCACATTTAGAGAGCAAGCACTATATATGGATATGTAGATGTTTTTTCCACCCCTTTACTACAGAAAGAGTTTGTGTAAGTTCTTCCATGGTGTACACAAGTATAGTATGCCCATAAACACATCAATTGTTTAAATTCTGCAAGACAGAGGGAAGCTGAAATGTAGTGTAGTATTAGCAAGTTACACTGTTAATATCAAACAGTGATGAACTTAACTGGACTTTGTTCTGGTTTGGGGACTTTTTTTTCCCTTTTAAATATTTGCTATAATTTGCCATTGGAAATAAATAAAAGCAAACAAGACAGTATCAATTAAAATTAAAGCAATTATTTGTTGAAAGGGAAACTTCGTAACATTTCTGAATGCATTCAGTTTAACTCCCAATAGTTTTAGTAAAATAAGTAAATTGCCTTATTTGCAAAAACTAGGAAGTGCAATTTAGTTGCTTGTCATGTCTTACAATTCTCTGGGAATCTTTGTATACAGATCAAAACTACAGGAAAAGCTTTGTGGAAAGCTAGATAGTTTAGATAATTTAACATCAGTTAAAAGCTGATTGACTTTCCTGTGGAAAATTTTCTACTTCTGAACTTGTGACAACATTCTGTACTTTCCTCTGTGGATTGTTTCAACCTCCTTTTTCCTGGCTTAATTCTGTCTCTGTCCTTTGATGTCCTCTTTATTTCACAGGTTCTTGAATCAGCTCAAATATGCTGGGGACCATTTACTTCCCAGAGAAAAACCTGGTATCCCTTTTCATTACTTTTTTTTCCCTTCTCACCAGTTTTATAAACAAGGAGGATTTGCCATGAAATAAGAAGTAGAAGGAGGTTTATGAAAGTAAAAGTTTGAAATGACCTTGATGAACTTTCCTCAGGCCTCTTCCAATTAGGCATCTGGCACACAGAGTGGCAGACCATCTAGGATGGCACAGATCTTGGCAGTATTATGGAACTAGTATTTTCACAAGGAGGAACTGTTCCTGAGCAATGCATAAGCCTTTTTTCTTCAATGTCAGGTAGGCATTTAAGGAAGACAAGTCATATTATTATTAATTATGACTCACTTAAATTGATTCTATTCCTTGGGGACAATAAGATGAACATTTATGTCTCTGGTTACATCTGTTAGAGTACAGTAAAAGCAGCAAAGAGGTGCAAGATATTGTTCCTGGTGTGTGTTTCCTTTGGGATAGTCTTTCAAGACTCCAAGGATGTTGAGATATTGTTGATATTATGTAACCTTCAACACTTAAGCATATGCACATCTTCTTCTGAGAAGTCTTATTTGATCTCTGGAGACCCATAATGTGATCCTCACTCAATCATAAAGGGAACTTTTCTAGGTACTACAGAAGCAGCAAAGTTTAAATGATCATTATTTGTAGAATTTGATGAAGTAGATATTTCCTGCCATATGTAAAATAAACAACTACTTACTGTGTACTATGTGGTGATGCAGGTTTATAATCTGCTACTGAATAATATGATGTCGTGTGAAGACTTGAACTGTTTCCTTATATAGTCCTCGAGAAATAATATTTTCTTTGCCCACATCTGAAAATAAATTCACAGGCAAATATGAAACCAATCAAATCTTGCACAAATGTTAACACCCAGATGTATGTGTTTCTGCATGGAATAATGTAGCTAGCAGAACTCTTGGATAGAGAAATCCCGTAAAAATACAGATTAGGCACATATAAGTTAAATATGTCTAACTAGTTTGCCAAGAAT